AAACTTTTTTTGTTCATAAGTTTTTTATAAACAATGAGCGACGGCTAAAACCTTCATATTATTATTCAGGGAGGTGACCTTGATAACATATGTCAAAATTGTTGAGATCGGAAAATAGTCCGTATAACTGCATAATTACCAAAAGCTGAAATGCTGGAATGCGCGATAAGGGTGCGCATCTCGTCAAACAAAATTTCGTGTAGAATATTTTAAAAAATCACATTTATAATATAGCGCGTGATGAACGCTAAAAAAATAGAACCGAATCAGCGAGAGTGCTTAGGACTTTTTCCAGCTTCTTCGGAAATTTTTTTCGCACACCGGATTTTTATCGTAAATTTAAAAGGTTATGCTTAATAACAGCGTAAAAAAAATGCTACTAAACTAATCGTGTAAAGAGAACTTCTGTAGGAAAGCACTTCGCTTTATATGACATTTTAATAAAGCTCCAATCCAGTTGTGTATTTAAAAAATATTAGAGATAAAAATAGTGTTAGCAAAAAGAGTAATACTGCTTATTAATGTTCTCTTTACCAAAAGTACTATTGTATCTCTCTCTCTCTCTCTCTCTCTCTCTCTCTCTCTCTCTTTCTCTCTCTCTTTCTCTCTCTCTCTTTCTGGAGAGAGAATTTCAAGAAGATATAATAAAGGAGAGTTAATAATAAAAGGAAAAAATACATGGTAATTGGAGACTTCAATATAGATCTTATGATAGATTTGTTTTATGCAAAGAAGCTGCAAACGACAATGTTGAGTTTAGATATGAAACATATCTAAGCTCAGCGCTAATAAACTGAGAATCACGAAAGACAAATTATAGGTTTAATCTTCCCTAATAATGATAAATTAGAAATACAAGTAATTCACAAACTTAAAATTACTGATCACGCGTGGCTAAAATCCTACGACTATGTGGAAAACCTTGAAAAAAAATACTTAAAGGCAAGCTAGTAAGTATAAAAAAAGTAGAAAGTATTAGATTTTGAAATTTTAGGTAATACTGAAAGATGCAATATAAAAAGTATTAATCGCGTAAGAAAATTATTTATGTTATCGAGGACAAAAGAATTATGGAAACAAATGATTAATTATGGAAAAATCAAGGTCAATGTCGAGCGAAATCAGAATTTTAATAATAAAAGAATTTACATAAAAGAACGCAAAATATTTTGAACTCTCATTGAAGTCTTCTTCAGTCGCAACATCCCACACAGAACAAAAACTCCATTAGACTTCTATTAGACGTCCACAGCTCCATGCGACATCTAATAGATGTCTAATGGATGTCTGGATGGATAGATATCTGTGTGGGAATCAATAATAGTAACAAAAGATATAAATAGCAAGAAGCAGTCACAGTAAAAGAGTATAATGCAAAATGAAAAGAGTGGCGATTGATAGTTATCCAAGTTAAAATTTTTTGGAAGACTCCAATGAGAGTTCGGAATATTTTGCGTTCTTTTATGTAAA